AAAAAGTACTCCAGAGTGTTGTTCAGCATGGGAGTGAGTAGAAAATGAAGGCTAATCATGTTTTGGGTGTACTATTCCTTTAAGACAAATTAGTGGAGGAGTCACTTAGAAAGATCCAGGCTCTTATTTCCATTCGACTTCATTATTGTAATGCACTTTATGCTGGTGTTGGTCAAGCATCTGTTTCATTCATTCCATTATTTGTGTTCTTTGTATTTGTTGCACATGATAATACTGATTTGTCATGTTATGAGCATTTAAACCCAGCCAGTGTGACGAGTTTGCATTTATTAGCTAACTCATATATTAGATTGTTTCTAACTCATACCTACCACTATGGTTTTTTAATATCTGCTGCAGTTTTTTCCACATGCTTCTCTCCTGTGGATCACATGGTGTTTACCTGAAATTAGTCCGCTTTACCGGCAAATCAATGCCTCTTTGTTAGTTCAGAGATGCACCAGGGGCGCCGTATGGGGGGACAGTTAGGATGATTCTAAGGGCCCTTGACTGAGGGGGGACCCAAAAGAACAAGAAAAGGTTTGTCCCGCTATATTTTTCAAATGTAAAAAGAAAATCCAGCAGTAAAATAAATCTTCTTCTGGTACTTAAATGCCACGTGCACGTCATTTGACGTAGTGAGAATGAAAGAAACAAATAAACAAGAAAATGTGTAAATAAGCAGCAGTGTGGTAAAAGCACCCCAAAGTCTGGGTTTCAAAAAGGAAGGAAAAGGAAGGAGAAAGAGGAGAGAGGGAGAAGGTGTCTGTTACCAGGAGCCAGTTTTTCCCCTCAAGTTTTTTTCAGAGAAGTTTTTTTTTTTTACTGAATTGATTAAAATAACAATAGATTAAGATCTGCTGGATACAACTACTCAGTTATTCTTCAATGTCAGAGGGGATTCACATCATTAATGTTGTGGCCCAGCTGGGTGCATCTGAAACGGAGCATTTTTATTATTTCGTTGTTTCGTTTTTACTTTTCAAGAAGAATTTAGCCAGGATTAAGCCTATGGTGTGTCTGTAAATAACACAGAGGCCAAACAACTAAGCCAGAAAGCTCCCAGAGCTGAGAAATTACTTTTATAACCAGACCAGGAAACAGGAAAACACCATCAGAGGGTTAACATCAGCTAAACACTAGTAGCTGTTTAGCAGGATGTTTCCATTAAATAACTGTTTTTGTCCTTTATCATGTAAACAGATGATCCACCAGCAGACACATTTCTTCAAACACCTACGCCCACCCCA